GATTGAACACAAGAACAGGTTCATATCTGGTGTGCAGAATGCATCGCTTTCCTGAAAACCATGTTATGATAGCTGGACATTCTCATGGAGTTTAAACTTTGATAACAGTTTGAAAAGGTGCACAAAGAGCCTGTATGCATTTAAAAACTGAAACCGGATTTTTTTTGTTGCTGATTTCTTTTTGATCTAGTAGCGCTAAAGAAAGTGTTTAGGGTGTGTGCCGGTACAATACGCCCACAGCTGTGCCTCTATTAAACACAAATGTTATGAATTAAGAAGCTTTAACAAGCCCTGACACCATCCTGGCTATTCCAGATTCTTTAACATCATTAGAGTACATCTTCCGACTTTGAATGAGTATTAACAATCTCACTTGACCATAAGATGTTTATTAGGTAATGCACGTATTCTTAAAAATGAATTCTTACATTAGTCGGGTTGTGTTGAAAAAACATTTTGGATCAAAGAGACGTTAATAAATTCTTCTATATAAATGCTTTAGTTAAAGATCTCTCTGCTGACTTCATGATGTTCATTCTAGAAGCCACAGCAAAATATTCCTGCCTGATCTTGTTCAAGTTGGTTAATGATTAAAATCTAGAAACAGCAGCTTTATGTCATCACTCTTTGTTTTTCAAATGCAAGTTTCCTCATAGAAATTGAACTAAATGCCTTCCTGCTGCCTTTGTCTGCAAATCACTCCAAAGTCATGAAAAATCCTCTTCTTTGCTTAACAGCAATAAAAGTGATGTTTTCACAGAAAGTCTGCATCATTTCTACACTAAAAAAACAGTGCTCATTACAGAGTCTGAGTTTCACTAATCACAGGGCCTCTTTATTTATTATCTAAATGTATTTCTATAATACTTATTTCATGGGTATGATATGCTGCAGTATCTTTATAGTTAAACAATTCAGAAACAAAGCAGCATCACATATATTCCAGCTTTGACATTTCAGCCACCTACCATGCTTCTGTATTTGACTAAATCAGTGCCACAGAGAAGCGCGACAGAGTGCATATCCAAATCGTACATGCAGTAGAACATGCACGGCGTTCCTATTCTTTCCTTTTTCCCACAGAAAATAACAGCAAGCATCCTGCATTCCTGTATAAAATTGTGTAAAAAGGAAAATTTTGACCTTTGAAAAATGTTTTCCTGTGCATTTAAACAAACTGATGTCTATAAAAACCTCATACAGACCAATAAAAAAAAAAATTCTGAAGGAAATTTGTGCATTACAAAACATTTTTTTAGCTTTCCTCCATGTTTAGCAGAAAAAGGCGACATCCGTCTTGCTCTGTGTGTGTGTCATTTTATTCCTCAGATGAGAAATCAACAATTCAACAGAAACGGGGGGAAACTGACCCATTCGAAACTTCTCAATCCAGAGTTTTCTTGCTTAAAATAATCTTAAAACATAAACTTGGAATGATCAGTACTGCAAAATATGCTCATTTAATACAGATCTAGAATTTGTTTGAGCACAAAGAAAAGTTTTAGGGATGCAGAGGAACAGAATGGCATACACTTTTCTAATATTTACATTTATTTATTTAAATATATTTATTATATTTAAATAAATAAATTTATTTATTTATTTATTTATTTATTTATTTATTTATTATATATATATTTATTTATTTTATTTAAAAAAGAAAATCAACTTTGATTATACTGCTATTTCTTGGATGTTGGAACTGCCCGGCATGATTCAAGTTTGCTGGATGAAAGAAGAAGCCTCTATAGCTAAAACGATACTAGTCAATATTAATTTGAAATAAGTTACTTCAGAATTAAAAAGATGTTTGTGCGGGAATCTAAATTTTGTTTCATTTTGTTTTCATCTGTATTATTTTTAAAAACACAAGCTGTCACAGAATTAATTATAGTTATATAAAAACTAAGCCTATGCCGATCTGACAGTCTTTGCTGTTCTGACAGAACGCCGTTACTGCCAGACTCACTATCGGTGTCTGTAGCCTGTTTGTGGCAGTTGCCATAGCGATAGTACGTACTGATGAGGAAGTGCAGCACAAATGCCCAAAGCCCCCAGCTACTATTGTATTAGATATTGCTCTTGAAATAAAAAAACACCTCGCAGTTTTGTGGGAGACCTAGATCATCGCCCTACATTCAGTTTCCTTTATTTTTAGTTAATATCACAATTTAAGCAAACGTAAATTAAAAAATACAGACGACATGACCTCGGTGTCCTCAATGGTAGTTATGACCCTGGGCCTATATACAATCCTGCACTATAATAAAGTATGGTTTGTAAAATGATCTATGTAAAACCGATTTAAATATCTGAGTGGACTCACATCTTTCTCCTTTAGGGCAGAGTGCCCGAAACAGGGGGACGAATCACCTGGACAACACAGGTAAGGGTAGACAGTTCCTGAGCTCAGGCAGGAGCGGAGGGGAATCGGTGTGAGGACAGCGGCTGAGAGAGAAATCCATATCTAGGATGAGCCGGCCAGCCATGCCGCCCTCTGAAGCTAAGGAACCACAGCAGCAGAGGCGGCAGGCTGCTGCTGCTAGCTCTGGAAAAGAGATGAGGAGCACAGGGACAGCTCAGAGAATCCTGCTGGGACACAGTGCTGATGGCCCAGAGGATGATACGGCTGGCCTGGGCTAATGATGGGCTAACTGCAGAGGATTGAAGCAGAATGGTGGAAGATCGATCAGTCTGCTGGGTGGAGAGAGGCCTGAAGGCAGGGTAGAGTGGCTGAGGCTTACCGTGAGGAGGACAGTGTTACATCGGAGGAGCCCGCTAGGTAGACAGAGCAGGAAGAGATGACGGCACGCCAAGGCTAGCATTTAGAGGCTAACTGCTGTAGATGGACAGGGGATCGCTGAGGAGAGGAGCCTGCAGGTGGAGCGAACGGAAGAGTGGGATAAGAGAAGGGATCAGCTATTAGTGTCTCCACTAGAGGTAGGATATGAAACAGTCCTTCTAGGGCTAAATGACAATGCATTTTTTAAAAGTCACCTACAAACCTCTTGATTATTCCCCACTTTATACTTCATTATTTACACTATTATTTTCATTATTTATACTGCATTATTTTATCTTTCTACCATTTTGATTTGAAACAGCTTGTCACCTCCGCCTCCTTCAATAAACCTTTGGTCAATTCATGATTCTTTCTCATCTCCTAATGTTTATAATCGTTACTGTCCTTGAGACAACACTATTTAATAATTAATGGATTTGATGCTGCGATCTAATGTTAATGAATCTCATCATCACCTGACAAGGTAGGTAAAGCGGACGTCGCTAGAGCCATTTTGTACCATAAGGGCCTCCGTATATATTTGGAGCGCAGAGGCAGTGTGGGAGGGCAGTTTATGTCACTGCAGTCTGACCATTAGATACCGCTGAAAATTACACACAGTAGCTTTAACATGGAGGGCAAATCAGACAAACAAAGTGATTGGGTAGAAATTAATCCTTCAAATTAATTTTCCTAAGATACATTAACATAATTTTTTATAGTCATGTTGCATTCAATTTTTTCCAAGTTCAAATTTGATATTAATTTTAATATTATATTAAAAACTTCCTACACCATGTGTCTTCTGGCACCTTTAACTTTTACTAAGTGGCTATATTAATTAGCATTAAAGTGTAATGCATCTGTAGTACAATTTTATTTTTTGGCATGATTTAATAGCTATGATTTTATTAATATATATTAAATCCTGATTAGATTTTTCTGAAAAAATCCATTAAGCTAACCTATAAAAATACATATCTAACAAGTAGCTTTTTTTAAACTCGCCAACTTGTTATAAACTGCTTTGTATATAATTAAAACAATGTATATTATTTTTTACAAAAATAAACATTTTGAGGCATGAGTCAACCAGTGGGATTCTTTTTAGTTCATCAATCATACTCAGAAATTTTAGATTTCTATCTGCAGAGTTTTTTTTATGATTTTATTCCCTAAATAATTCTACCAGGTGGAACCTTATGGCAACAACCATGGTCTGCTTGTGAAAGTAAAGCTGTTGGGCTGTCATTTAGCTATTGGACAGTAATTTCCAGAATTATATTTGCAAAACAGGACACAAAAAATTAGATCTGCTTTTGTTTGAAGTTTGTGTTCATAAATTTGAGGGTTTTGCTTATAAAATTGTGATTTGTACTTTAAAGTTTCTGATTTGTTTTTGTTAATTTCATAAATTTGATAACTTTTTTGATTGTACATTTGTGATTTTTACGATGTATATGTGATCCGTAGTTATATATTTATAATACATGCTCCTGGATTGGATTTGTAATTTAAAAAGTGTGATTTGGCCTACTTGTAGTTTTGCAAAGTTGTACCTTCTTAACTTGAGTTCTTCTGATGTTTACGGAAGAGGACTAGGGCCACTAAAAAATAAGTAAACTTTTTTATTTTTTTCAATTGTATTTCAGTTTAATATGGGAAAAAAGTCAGAATTCTGACTTTTTTCTCAGAATTCTGACTTTAATCTCAGAATTCTGACTTTTTTCTCAGAATTCTGACTTAATTCTGACAGCTTACTAACATGTTAGCATCAAGCCGTAGCCATGTTTGTTTTAGAGACTAGCTCTCTTGTTTTAATCACCTTCTGCTCCTCCATTAATGAGGGGACCCCTCGGGCATGTCAGAATTCTGACTTTTTTCCCATATTAAATTAAAATAAAATCAATTAACTTTTTTTGTCCAGTGGCCCTAATCCTCTTCCGCAGATGTAAATCAGAGCAAATAACAAGAAAAAATAATAAAAATCTTAATTTTTTTTCATGTTTACTGACTTACATTTACAAATCCAGACACCTGCAGATAGTTTATTTTTTATTGACAGTTAGTCCACTGTCTGGTTAGTGTCTAGAGACAGTTGCCAGGAGGATGTTCTGCGTTTTATTCCAAATGCCACTAATGTGCAGCGAGGAGGAGCTGTTATTGCTGCTGCTGCGTTATCATCAGGAGAGGAGGAAGAGGAGGGGAGGGCTTACAAGCCCAGCTCCGTGGAACATCCTGCAAACAAGTCGGGGAGTCGAAACCAAACTCCGCTCAGTTTGCCCCTCGCAGCGACGCGCAGCACTTCGCTCCCTCCGTCCGCGCTCCTGTCGGGATGCCTCTCCGTTTGGAGGAAGTCTGTGCGCTCCAGCTCTAGCTGCCCCATCCTGCCACTTAATGCTGGACTTATGACTGAGCACCGCTTTATTAATATCATCTCCGGACGCACGGCGGTGGGACATCCGGCATGGGGCGCCCGTAAGAGGAGGAGGAGGAGACCACGGTCCGCTCTGGTTTGGTGAAGAGCGCGCGAGCGCACCGACGCACGCGCCCTCGTAGCCAGCGCGACATGGACTTCAAGAAGACAAAATTTGGAAGGTAATCATGTTTCTCCGAAGAAACCAAAACATGTAATGTTTGAGCAACAGATGTTGTGCATTCTGGCGCGTGGACAGACAGAGGGATGTTATAGATTAGTGAGCGCGTGCACGCGAAGGAGCAATCAGTTCAAATTTCAATCTTTCTTTTGGCAAAAAGAGAGAGAGGAAAAAAAACCTTTGCAATGTTGAACTTTTAAAAACGTTATCACAAAGCAATACATTTATCCCCGGATTTCAGTGATAAAACCAACACTAAATAGTGTGTACTGTTTAGTGGAAGCAAGAGTTTTATATATTTTTTCTAAAACAAAATGTAATTTGACTTTCAGCCTCCCAAAGACAATACTTTGTTTAACCAACTTTGGAAGTCAAGATTAAGATCCCTCTAATTTAATTACAAATATGAACATCAATATTCCAAGTTTTAGGCGTGCACTTTGATTTAGCAGTTTCCTTCTGGCTGTATGTCTGTAGCCTCTAACTGTTTTGTTTAGTCCCTGTTGAGGCAAAGATTCCCTCAGCATAATGCTGCCACCACCTGTGCTCAGGTTAATGTCCAATTAGTTTTATCTGTGCTTCCCTTATTAATGCTCTCCTTGCTTGGCCTGCCAATGTATATTCTAGTCAGTTAGCAGTTGGATCCATACTGTTTCTATTCAGGGTTGGTGGACTGATAAGGTTCTATTATAGGTTCTATCATTGAAGAACCATACTTGGAACTTTTGTACAACTTTATTCCAGAAATGTCTGCAGTGTTCCTTTTTTGATGTTTGTTTCACCTCTAAATTAAAAACGGCTCTCAAGCTGATTTACTGTTTAGGTTCTCCTAAAGGTGAGGGGCTGCACAGATTTTTTTTAGGGGTATAACATGAAGGATGACAGAAAACAAAAAGATAATGGTCTATTTTTTTGTTTTTGGTTTAGGACACACAAGTCTTGTTGGTTGCTTATCTATTTCTTAGTCGAACCCCTGATTTGGGTCAAAGTTTGCTGCTGTAGAGTTTGCTGTACCCGTTTAAAGCGTACCAAGTCCAGTCCTCTTCCAGGAAGGGCCCTATGTGTGGCCGTTTCTTGTTGTTGGAGTGGGATCTGGCTAAAATCGTGAGAACCAGAGTTGAACTCCCAGAGGAGATTAACTTGATCTTTGCAGTGAAAGGAATAGCCTTGGAGTTACACACAGATTCCTAAGGCGCACGCTGGGCTCCAGAGGCTCTGATCCTTACATTATTACGTACAGCTGATCCTATTCATACGGGCTATGTGGTGCAATCCCAATTCCCCCCCCCTTCATGAGGTGAAAGCTGGGCATCGTGTACACAGACACGTGGGAACATTTAGCCAGCATGTGATGCCCCTTCTGTGCAGAAAAGAAGAAGCAAGCGTTATGTGGAAAGAGCGAGTCTGAATAAAGACAGACAACGCTGCCATCCTCTCCGATCAGAACAGTTTTTTCAGTTGATTACACACCCTCGCTCTCAGAGGGCTGTCATAAGTGATTAGAGGACAGCAGAGTGCCACATAAAATCCCACAACACAGCAACAGTGCCGAGGAAAACACTGCTCTCTTGTTGTGTGCGCTTGGCGCGGCCTGAAGAGATGGAGGACAAACGGGGAAGAAGTGGCAGCCACTCAAACGTCGGCTGTTATCTCACTAATTGTTTCTTTTTTTTAAATTGAAGCCCGACAATAAAAGCTTTGAGTTTATACCATGGTTTTAGTATTGGAGTCATGCTGGGTCTTAATGTGATGTTATTAGGAAAGGAAGTCCAGTGAGGCTTTTAAAAAAAGTCTAACAGCAGGATAAGCTGCTTCAACAGTGTTGAAAACAGACATGGGAGGACACAGGAAATGAAAATAAGGGTGTAAAGTTGACTCCTTACCCTGCTAACTGGACCCATAACAGAAACACACAAACAGATGTTATTGTGGTGGAGAGTGTTGAAGGACAGATGAGGTTTACTTATTTATGTATAAACCTCTGATCTTAACAGTCTTGTCTTTGAATATATCCTTGTAGGCCTGGCAAAAAAATGTATTAAATTGATTCACAAAAGCATCACATAAACATCTACAGGACGACTGGTTTTTCCTGACATCTTAATAATATAATATGACAGGATGGCTACATGTATGTGCAATAATTTGTTAAATGTTTTTTTCCTAAAAATGTACCTGTGTTTCAAAGATTTACTCTGTTTAAATTTTAATTGTTTTGGATCTGTTTCAATGAGAGAATCAACTAGTGAACCTCACGAAATATAAGTAAATATATATTAAAAACGCTCCTTTTACACCAAAAGTATAATCTTTTTCTAGAAAATCGACTCCCAGTATAAGGGGGAAAAATTAATAACACCTTATGTTTTAATTCAAAACTTAATGTTTTATTTTCCAGAACTTATCTTAACCATAAAAAAATTCTGGTCCATCACGAGAAAAGGAACCACTGAGCATGACACTGCCACCACCATGCGGTTATCCTGCTCTTTTAGTAATGTGCAGCCCTTTTTTTTCCTTGCCTGACAATCAAATCTCAGGGATTTACAATTAATAATTTGGGTTTGAATCCATCACACAATTTTAGGACAGAATTATGGAGCATTTGGATATTTGCAACCCTTGAAACACAATCTTAAAACACTATTTTAGGAAACAGCAGGATAATTGAAACACAATTATGCTGCTTCCTCAGTGTTGCTGGCAGCTTCCATTGCTGCCTCTTAGTTTCCTATTTTTTCCCAGTTATCTGTAAGTACCTTCAGTGTGACAGCGTATAAAAACCTCCTTCTAACTAATATCTTTACACAGGCAGATCCCTTTGATTCTTTTCTAACCTCTTTGCAAACTGTGGTTTAGCCACAAATGAGCTAACTTCTGGTAAATCCTACTTAGACGGCTGAACTTTATTTACAATGAACTGGATTCAATATAACAGACAGCAGGTGTAAGAAAAAAACACTCCAAAGTTTCCAGAACAAGACATTAGAACACAGGTTTGCACAAGAGTTCATTTTCACATTAATATTGGCCAGGATAGTTGGGAAAACACTTGGATGTGGACACTTTTGTTTGTCCCTGATTGTATGTAAGCGCCTCTGATGTGATTCTAATTTTTCAGCAGTAAATCCCTCCATCCCTCCAGCTTACAGGGGGGAGGGTGGGGAGGAAGCACATCTGGAGATGTTATGAAACCAGATTTTTTCTTTCACTCTCGCAGTCAAACGCAGCGCTACGTGAGCGGCTGCCTCCAAACTCAGGGCCACAGGTGCGTCCATGCTGGTTTCGGCCTGTGCTGTTTGATGGCGTATGTAGGCCATGTGCTCATTATCACGCGCGCAGACCTCTTATTGCTGCTCGGTTTAATGGTTCAGCCAGAGAAAGTACTTAGGAGGAGGTGAAGCAGAAGGAAAACACAAGGGGAAGGTTGTTTAAGCATCAGCTACACGAAAACTCCATCATTAACAAATCCGACACGATTCTTTAATTTTAGATTTCAGACAATGTGATGCGGATTATAGAACTGCACACCCTCCAGGAATGACCTCCTTGATAATTTTTTCAGAACCACTAAAGATCAACACTCTCTTTTCCCTCTGATGTTCTGTTCAGGTACATGAACTGCAGGGTTCCGGCCAATAAGAGATACCAGCCCACTGAGTACGAACATGCAGCCAACTGCGCTACACACGCGGTAAGACAACCACCATGTGTGGGATGATGTAGAGACCTTAGTAAATGATGCATTACGGAGAACGCTGTATTTTCTCTTCTGGCTGTGTGGCAGAAGGCCATAATCTGAGAATTGTATTTAATCTGCTGTAATCCCTGCAGCCTCACAGAGTCTGAATTAAATAGACAAATGCAGGCGAAGGAAGAAACACAGGAAAATATGACTATTAATGCTTAGACATGTTTGGGCCGTATAGATTGTAACTGCGGCGTGTTCCCTCCTGCTCCACCAGCTTTTTAACGCCTACACATTAATTTAAACAGAGCAGCTCATTGGACACCAGATCCTGACATGATCCCTAGTCTGTTTCCTTTCAGCCTTCATTCAGTCCAAACTGTTTATCCATGAATCAAGTAGCGGCATGTCTGCTTTACTTTACTTTAATCTTTTAATAATCATTTCCTTTTATATTCCTGTTCAGAAACTAAAAAAGAAACAAACAAAGGATAAAGCTCCCTGAGTTTAAATTTGAATAATAATTTCTGACATTTTGGACTCTTATAGTTTTGGATTCTTCCCAGCATGGTTGGTGGCTCTGTGCTCTACTTCCTCTCTGTGGATAAATGGCACAGAGTCGCTGCCTTGCTCTATGGCAGTGGTCTGACTGGCCTCTTCCTCACCTCGACGCTCTTCCACACAGCTGCCTGGAAAATCAGCCATCTCCGGTGGGTGCTTGCCTCTCTTTGCATCTCAGTGGCTCCTGCAGTTTTAAACGTCACCTTAGACTTTTTAGGAAAAACATAAGATGGAAGTCTGCTGTTAAAAAGTTCAGTGGAAGACTGCTGATGAGTCAAAACCAAAGACTTTCCCTATTAGAATAAGAAATGAAAGTTTTTTACATAGTCGAAAATATCTAATTATCTAATTTATAACAGCTACATGATCTAGTGACTCCTTATAAAGAATAATGTTAATATTGTAATATTGTTCTTTTTACATATTTAGCGTTGAGCTATTCCCCCACATAAAAAACACAAAAATATTTATAATTTATATATTTTTCAGTTTAATGTTGTTTTTATTTACCTGTAGTTACTATTATAGTAGTTTCTTTTAGATATATTATGGTACTGAATGTGAAATGTTTGCATCGTTTTATAGGAGGCTGGAGGAACGTTTCCACATGTGTGACAGAATGGCCATCTACTTCTTCATTGCTGCCTCCTATTCTCCTTGGTAGGTCATGTGGCTTTACTGTAAACAGAGATCACATCGTTAATCCGGTTTGTTGTTTTTTTTCTGCTACACAACTGCCTTAGGACTTGTAAATAGCAAATGTATCATTGTGACTCACTTCTATATAATTGAAATAAAGCACAAATCCACATTATTTCACTTCCAATTCCTGATCCCAGAATTTGGGTATCTTCCGATACGGAGAGTTTATTTGCTTTTATGTTGTTCTCATCATATTGCTGATTTTTAAAAAAGATTTTTAACCGAACTCTATTTTAATTACTTCCGATTTTATTTTTTATTCTACTTCAGTCTTTTTTACCCTCTCAATTTTTGATATTAGTTAAGTGAATTATAAAAAACATATTCTTTCCATGATCTAAAGGTGCTTTTACACTGAATGCGAATTTTGCAGCTTGAGTGAATCTCTATGTAGGCAGCAGCCCTGCAAGAGCCAGCAATGCTAAGTTCGCAATTCTAGTGAAGCGAATAGTCCTTTTTTGGCGGATTCAACCAAGCTAGATCGATGCCGTGAAATTGACAGGAATTGAAAAATGTCACCTCTAAGACAGATTAAATGTGGGATTCCTCATGGCTCCATTCTCAGGCTCCTTTCTATTAAAAAGCAATTTAACTCTAAATCACAATGTTTTGTTTTTTTGCATGTAAATTTGAAACTTTATCTCACAGGTGGCATCTTTATGTCATTGTAAAAAATGTTTGTGTAAAATTGTTTCAATATACAATAATTGTCATAGTGCCATCTTGGTGCTGCTCTCTATGGGTTGGGTACTGCGGCTGACTTTTCTTATTGGTTAAAAAAACGGTAGAGATCGGTTCATTAATATGTCAAAGCGCTGGTCATAATAGTACAGCTGCTTGTACAACAAGAAGGATGGAAAGAGAAACACTGTTCTATGTGGGATTCAGACTTTAGAGTACAAATTGAACATCCCAATCATCTCACTCTGAAACACGCCACTGTGCAAATACGAACACTGCAACAATGAACGATAGAATTTTCTAAGGTGAGTATTTTACCAATAAGTCAAGATACCGTTTTAGTTTAGGTGATTAGATCATTTAGTCATATTAACTTTAGTTACTTTGCCTCATCCTGACCACGCCCCCTCTGCTCGTCCCCACACCTGGCTGTTTCTGTCAGGGTTTCTTGATGCTATCCACTTCAGTGGCTTTTTTCAAAATTCGGGGTGTTTTTACTTTTGCATCAGGTATTGAGATGCTCCTCCTGACTCCAACTATGGAGTATTACACCATCTCTTAACACATGAATACTAAGACACCACAGTCGGATAATGTTGCTGTGACTATGGGGCAGAATTGAAAGATCTCATCCAGTCTAATGGTTGACGTCCTCAGGTTGATGCTGAGGGAGCTGGGACCATGGACGTACCATATGCGCTGGCTGATCTGGGTCATGGCGTGTGTAGGGTCCGTGTACGTCTTTTTTTTCCATGAGCGGTAAGACTCTTGTGAATTGTTTTTTTTTTCATGCTTTGTATAAATATATTGACTGAAACCCGACACCAGCCCTCATGTGTTCAGATGAAACAGTGAACTGCTGAAAGAGGTTTTTTGTTTGTTTTATTCTGCAGGTACAAACTGGTAGAGCTGCTGGGCTATGTGACAATGGGCGCTGTTCCTGCTTTGGTCATATTGTCCATGGTGAGCTTAAGAAAAAAAAAGTTTAACTAAAGTCAAGCTAAGAACTCTTTGTTCCATCCTATTTTCTCAAATTTAACAGAACAAAATGTTCTTTATTAAATGTCTTCCTTGGTTAAACCTCACTAGAAGGTCCTGAAAGTTAAATCTACTCTCCTAAAATCTCCTACTGGCATCTCATAGCTTTGAGTTTAAAGGCCCTTAGCTGAACAGCTAAATCTTCAAGTCCGGTCGTGTTATTTTCAGAAAAAGATTAAAAGAATTTGCCAAAGCGGCTTTTAGGTTTATTTCAAACGTCACTGAAACAGGAGTGAGGAGTGTAACAGATACTACTGGGAATGTTTTTTATTCCTTTCTGCAGATTAGTTCCCTTTTCATGCATCAGGAAAGAATCTGTCTATCCGGAATAAAATTATAAAACAGGATTTTATACCTATGCTGCTTCGCTCGTAAACAAAAACTCTAAAAACCTGAGATGCATTTCAGAAGAGAAAGTATTTCATTTTAATGAAACATATTCATAAAGCCCATTTTATTATTCAATACATCAAGTTTCTATATTTCCGTCTCATTTTTCCCTTTACTGTTATTCATTTTGAGTAGATCTTTTTCACTTGTTCTTTTTTCTTTTCTGCTATGATTTTTTTTGTGTATCAACACATCTTACATGTCATCCTCTCTGTCTCAGGTGGAGCGTGCAGGCGTGTGTGAGCTCGCTCTGGGAGGGGTCTTCTATTCAATGGGCGTGGTCTTCTTTAAGAGCGATGGACTCGTTCCTTTCGCCCACGCCATCTGGCATCTTTTTGTCGCAGTCGGAGCGGGCATTCATTATTACGCCATCTGGAGGTACCTGTATCTTGTAGAACCACAGCTGCAGACGTCCAGGTGACGGACCCACCCTCCCCAGATGGACACTGAATTCTGAAAGCTGCTGATTCAAAAGGCGTAGCAGGATACTAAAAGTTGCACTTAAACTGAACCAAGTGGTTTGCCTTCATGAAATGAAGGCTGGTTATGGGGAGACCCATGCTGGATTGGAGCTGATGGTCATACTGTTAGAGACCAAACACCCGATCAAAGCCAGTAAACTAAGATGTACAACATCTAGCTTCAATGGGAATGTTGTTATAATCCTGCTGTTAAACACTAAATTTTATTATTTTGTCCATCTTGAAGACTGATGATGTCCAAATGGGTCCAAACAGTAAACGTTTGAGCCACTTTAGTTTTTTTTTTTTTTTTTTCTTTTGAAGCATTTAGATTCTGCTGTAGAAACAAACTAACAAAAAAAAAAAAAAAAAACAGCAGACCGTAACCACAGTCTGCTGCAGGGTTTTTATTTAACAAACATGCTAAGATTTAGCATGGAGATATTTTCAGCCCAAAAAACTTTAAGTCTAGGGTGACATTAGTGTTCATACCCCTTACACTGATCATACTTTGTCACATTATAATCAAACTTTAATGAGTTTTACTGCGATTTTATGTGATAACCAAACACACTTGTGAGTGAAAGAAAACTGGTATTAATCTGCTTTTACTCTGACATCATAAAATAACACCTAGGGTATTTAGTTGCCTTCAAAAATCACATATTTAGTAGTAGAGTCCACCTGCGTAGTTTATCCTTTGATTGATGGAAAGGCCACCCACTTGCTAAAGCATGGGGGTGGCAGCATACTGCTGTAGGGGTGGTTTTCTTTAGAAGGCACTGCTGGTCAGAGTCAATGTGAAGATCACTGGAGGTGAATATAAACAGTATAGGAGGACAACCTGTTAGGGGCTGCAAAGGTTTTGGGTTGGAGGTTCACCTTCCAGTAGTTTGACGGCGTAAACATACAATTAGAGCTGCAATGGAAACAGTTTTAACGTCAGAGCAAGCAAATGAGATGGAACGGCTCGGTCAAAGTCCAAATATAGATCCTCAATGAGCTGCAGCTGTTTTGGAAAGGACACATTTCAGTTTTAATACATTTTAATCTGGTAAAAAGATTTAAACTGTCAAAGCAGCGAAATAAGGCTTAAAGATAAATACTTTAGACATTTTGATTTGGTTTTAATTTTGATTTAGTCTAGACTTTGATTTTCAATTCTATTTCAGTTACAATACATTTTTCGTATTTGTTAGCTAGTTTAGTTTGTATTAGTTTCAGTTATAGCTTCAGTCTTTAATGTAATTCAACTTACATTAAAGACTAAAGATGAAATAATAGAAATAAAATCTCAGATATAGATGGACTGCTGCAGCATCATAACTAACCTGACTGCGGTACCTGCCATAGGCTTGGGTAATGCGGTACAGCAAAACAACTGGAAACCAGACTTCATCTTTCTGCGTTTTAAGGACACAATTGAAAACAAACCGATTTTAATTAGTTTCTTGAACTCTTATTAATTTTGTTTTTGTTGGTGTAACATCTAGTTTTAATTTTTTTTTTTGCATTTAATTCTAGTTTTCATTAATGGATTATTTTTAGGTAACAATTATAGCCTGGCTCTGAGAGTTTTGACTCTCATGCCACACTTTTCAGATTCAAACATTATTTTCCTTTCTTTTCACGTTTATTTCTCTTAAAATCCAATAAAAAAAATACATTCAAGTTAGGGTTTTGACAATAGATGCAACATTACAAGTTTGGAGGTTCAATGAACTATTAATGGACGGGAATAAGAAAAACAAGTGTTCATGACCAGCATTGCTGCAGTTTAAGATGAGGAAATCCACCCACAACAACCTCTAAAGCTAAACAAAGATCCCTGCCAGCTGCATGGTGATTGGCTGCTGCTGAAAACATCAGGAGGCATCTGGTTTAAAGGTTAAAGGTTAGGTTAAACAAATGAATATACAGCCCTGTGGAGAGATTTCATCTCCCCCAATCTTCCAGGTTTAAAGTGGTCCTCAATCAGAGTTTATAAAGTTTTTTGGTACTTTTATCGCTTTGTTCACCAATTGCTGTTGTTCATTTCAAATGCAGGATCATGAGATAATATTGTGCCATATGAAGGACAAAATGCGTCAAACATGAAAGACCAAAACCGGGTCAATAAGCTTCATCTTCTTTTATGTTTTCATGACCTTTTTACCCACTTTTTGACTAACAGTGGACTAACAGTTCCTTGGGAATCGCCATGTCTGTGCTGAAATACTACTACTAATAATACTACTTTACTTTCACTCAGATGTGTCTGGCTACTTGTTAGATTCAACCAAAGGAACAGGAACCATCAGGCTGCTGGAAACAAAGTGCCTAATTATGTATGTTTTTTCACTCGGCACTAATTCATCCATTAGCAGCCTTTTTTAAATCCATTTCCTGAATTATTTACAAGTTTAGTCGTAGATTAGTTGGGGAGGGAGATATGATCAGTCGCTGGGGTGAAAATGAAAAGAAATGTCAAACTTTTTTCAATACTGAAGCTTTCCAGGAAATGTTTCTACTACTAGAAATGTTTCTACTTGGAGTGCCAAAACTTACCACACCTTTTTTTTCCAAAGGTGCTAAAAGTCACTTTTAATTTATTGACTTTATTGCATGATGAGATTTTAACAGGGACATTCTGTGAAGGATTTTCTCTGTATTTCACTAGAAGGTGGATTTGAGAACAAGGCCATGAAGAGAGACGTAAAGCCTGCGGTCCAAGGACCAAAAGCTGAGCTCCTGGTCATAAAGTTACTGATTTTTATTTTATTGTAAAGACCTCACAAATGTATTTGAAAAGGATTTAGGGTACTGACATGAACAGGTAACTAACCTCCCAACTGTTATTTAACTAAAGGGGAGGTCATCCGTTTTACAGGAAAGATAAATACAGACTGCAGTGTGAATTTAGATGATGTTTTCATGGTTTTTGGGCTGTAAAGTGAGAAAAAATTGCAAACTCTCCTTCTAAATTTAATGGAAAGTATATCCTGCACATTAAAAGACAAACGAGTCTAAATAATGGTTGTATAGGCGTGCACACTCTTTAGTATTTTGCTCGATTTCTTTGGTTGACTTGATATTTTCTGAATCTACCTTCCAAAAGTTCCTCAGATCCACTAGACTGGGAGGACCTCCATGGTCCAGTCGGTTATTTTATTTTTTTTTATTTGGTCATTTGAAATGATCATGATTCTGGAAATATAAAACCCCTCCTTATCAACGGTTTGGGACAAATAAAGCTGGGAAAGCACTGATTTGAAAAACTCTGCCGATATTCATATCTGACATCATGCTGTCGATATTTACAGATACTCTATATTTTCCGACCCTTTGGATGCTGGGAAAAATTAACTGCAGTGCAGGTATAGTTTTCCCTCTTGAAAAAAAAACCAGCAAATAGACTAATCTTAATATCTGCTCTTTAAATCCGTCCAGTTTTACTAAGTGGACTGATACCATTATGTTTTAAAACGACCAACACTGATGTTAACGCTGATAAAAATCCTAAGTTGAATCCAGACAGCATGATACTGCCACCACCATGTCTCTGTATGGGTATTTTGTTGTTCTGACTCCCAATTTTAATCCTTTCAGTTTTTTATACTCTCCCAAATGTTTTGGAAGTTTATGGTGGAAAAATATTTTCCCCCTTAGAATATAAAGTATATGAGATGGTTTTGTATGCAGAAGAGAAGCAGTAAAGATTCCTTCAGTGTTCAGATTAGTGTCTGCCTTGTCTTTTCTTTAATAAGATTCTTTTAAATGTTGGTTACTTCTCTAAAACCAAGGCTTTAGCTAAAGGATGCAAAAAAACAGAATATGAAACAAAAAACTACCGGAACAGTTCTACTTTATGGAATCAGAGTATCAGACCAAGAGTGTGCAGATTTATATACTGAATTCTACATTCCGTCCTTTTTTAGTTGAACTGCAGTAAAAGTGAAAAAAAAGTGGCTTTGAAATTATTTTACTGGCTTGTTTTTTCTGTCCCGCTCTGCAGAGTCGCCACTTGCACTCGATCTTTGTGTTCTTGGAACCAAGAACTGCAGTTATTTTGTGAACATAAAGCACTTAGATTATCAAGCACTTTTCAGCCAGCAGGTGTGACATCACATCCGTGAGGTGGATCTAGATATCAGCGTCTTAAACGTCCAGATTATCCATGCTGAGGTGGATTTTTTAAATTTTTAAAAAATGGAACAGTAGGGACCAGAGAAGAGAGGATGTTTCTACTGAGGTTTGTAAATCACTCAGGAAGTGAAGAGTTGTTTTTTTTTCTTCTTATCAAAGTATTTTTTGTATAAATGCTATATTTCAGTGATATTATTGCAATAAATAGAAAAACTTCAAAGCCGTGTATGATTTATTATTTCAACATCAAATTATTACATTTCAAGTCATTCATCTCATTTATTTACAAAAAAAGGTGCAAAGATGGAATGGATTTCCAGAAGCTTCCAAAGTACCACAGCAGGATGGATGAGTGTGCGTCACTGTGAGTGCGTGAGCCTAGTGAGGACCCGTAGCTGCAGCGGCAGGGCCAGGTTTGTGTCCCTGTGCCACCGTGGCGTGATGATGTGAGGAGGCGGGGTCAGGACACTCTGAGCCACACCGGGGGCTTTTAGCAGAGACCATAGCTCCTCCCCACGCGTCACTATGGCAATGAGGTCATCTTCATCTGTGCACCAGGGGACCAGCCCGCTTCTGGCTACGGTTCTTAGTTTGGAGAAGAAAAGAGACACCCTGACGAGAGACGATAACAAAAGTTACCGCATTACATCCTTCCAACTGCAGCTCAAATAAAAACAGAAACGTCATCCACCTTGGAATGAGGTCATGTGATCGTGACGCCAGCTTAGCCAGCGCGCTCATCAAAGTGGTGATGACCTTAGGGGCGGGGCACAAAGTTCCAGGGGGTGGGGCGGACGAGGTTATCTCAAACAGTACCGCCTCCAAGGTTTCAAAGCAGGAAGTGATGAGCGTCACTGAGCAACGGGAGTCAGACGACGCTGACAGGTACTCTCCTAAAACCCAGACCTGGAAACCAAAAACAGAACACCTGAACACACTGGAGGTGATCAGTTAGTCAGACTGAGATTATAATCCAGTTTTCATTCATTTAATGAGGCTAAGCTGATTGCAAACCTTAAGGTAAATACTGAACAAGCATGTGGCGACAATGGAAAGAAACAATTCCTATTTAACAGGAGGAGCTCATCAGGAAAACCGAGCTCAGCGTCAGCAGCTGTCTGGTGTGTGGAGGCAGAGGACCAAAAAATTCAACCAACCAGCAGAATCAGTCAGTCTCAGTATTATTATATCTGGCCTCAGAGACTTTTTCCTTTAAAGAGCATGAGTGA